TGGTGAATAAGTTATCCTGTGACTTCATAGAAGTAGTGGCATCACAAGCATTCTGAATAAAGTAGCCAAACTCATATCCAAAATGTGTTTATCCCTCTGAGGATGATACTCTGCATCTTCCATAAATGGAAAGTCTAACATAATCAACTGTCCATACAGTTACTAACTAGTCTCCTTGAGCAAATTGTGTCATAGCAAGGTCTCAGTGTTGTTCTTTTCTGTAGATAAGGCATGAAGAAATAGCATTAGTAAGGGTAAGGCCATGCCATTAAGCACATAGATAGCCTCTAACTTTGTCACCAGGTACTTTGTTCAAGGGCCTACTGAAGAAGCACTGTGTGTCCACCTGATTATTAAGTGATCCTCTACAGTAAAAGCCATTGGGGCATTCAAAAGGACAAGAATATCTTCCACATCTTGTGCCCCTTTTGAGACATCATACACATAGCTCTTCTCCAAACTTCCTAATCACTAATCTGTTCCATCCAGTGTGTTAGAAACTGTCCACGAATTGTACTGTTTATTTGTTCTTCTCTACCTTCAACAAAGTAGACAATCAAAAGTACCACTGGAAGTTCCAACCACTAAGAATATCTTCATTCACCACTCTTCTTCAGAGTTGCCCCTGAGTAGTACCATAGCGCTCCATCTGTGCACTTTCAGGTGGCCCCAAAATATTATGCATGTCTGCTTGTAAACCAAGTTCAACTTTGTTTCTTCCTTGGTCAAGTGGTTGTAAGAAGCTCCCCCAGGAGGCCATGGGCATGGCAGGAAGGGGAGAAGACCATGCAGCAGGTCAAGCTACATGCTCAAGCAATTTACCTGTGGGCTAAAAAATGGCTCCTCAAAAGAAATTCACATCCTTACATGGAAAAATTAAAGGTTATTTTCATATGTGATTAAGTAAAGGATGAAGGAATGGGGAGACCATACTGGACTAACCAGGTAAGACCTAAACGTAATCACACATATCTGCAAAAGACAATGGGAGATCTGACACATACACCAGGAATTAGGCAACATGAATGCAGAACAAAGATTTGGAGATGCTAGCCTTAAAGACTGGAGTTGATGCAGCTCCAGGCCAAGGAATGTCAGCAGCCACTGGAAGCTTTTAAAAAAGCTTTTAAAAAAGAATGAAGGAGGGAGGGAGAGAGGGAAGAAAGGAAGGAGAAAAGGAAAGACAGAAGGAAAGAAACTTCCACAAAGAGCACAGCCCTCCTGACACCTTGATTTTGACCAGTGATATTGATTTTAGATTTCTTGCTGCCAACACTGTAAAAGAATAAATTCCTGTTTCTTTCGAGATTGTGGTAATTTGTTATGGAAACCATAGACAACTGATACAGTGATTCAGAGAACACACAGTTCACAAGAGACTTAGGGCACATGGTCACCTCATGTGCCATTGTTAGTTGTGTAATCTCCACCAAGGCCCAGGAGCAATCCAAAAGCTTCTAAAGAATAATAGGTATGTGCTGAAGAGAGCATATATTTGCTCTAACACTTTGAAGATCTGTGCTGTGATTCTCACAGTAGGGTTTGACAAAGGTACCAGCAGCATCACTGCTTGCCATCGGTATTGTGAAGATCACTGCATATGCTAAATCATAAGGCCTGAATAATACAGCACCTTTTACTGCTGCCCAGACTTAAAGCAGTTTTCTCTTACTTCCTCACTTGAAATTGTCAGCCTTGGAGATGAAATTAACGTTTGATTAGAGTAGTATACTCAAATGTGATATATGTTGCCTTCAACACTCAAACAGGCCCACCATATATTGTACCTCTTCTTTCATGGTAAGTGGCAAGAGATTTAGAGCTTGCCTTTTCCCATTTTGGGGGATACATTTGCATCCTTTACATGGTTGATCCATCACAGCTTTGTAGTGTTTATCTCCCATCCTCCAGTTCTCATTTGTCTTAATAAGTTACTGAAAGCACTGAGTACATCCTGCACACCAGATCCAATTAGTATAAATTTGTAAGTGTAGCAAACATATGGATGTTTTGTGGAGTCTGAGGGTGATCAAGATCCCTGTGAACATTGTGGAAACAGAAACAACTGACTTTTTGCCCTGAAGAAAAACTGTGAATGTATACTGCTGGCATTGTAAAGTAAAAGCAAACTGCTTTTTTCAATTTGAACTTCCCAACTTGTTTGGATAAGAAAAAAAATCATTAGCCAGGTCAGTAGCAACTTTCCTAGTACTAAGAACCACACTGATTTATTTACTCCAGTAAATGTACATCTGGCACACCAGCTGCAATTGGAGTCACCACCTGCTTCTGTTTATGACAGCACACAGTCACTCTCCAGGATCTACCTGGCTTCTCCACAGCCTAAGCAGATGAGTTATGTGCGGCTGGGATGGATCTGATTACCTTTGCTTCTTTGAAGACTTTGATAAAGACATTGTTTTAATTCCTCCAGGAACAGATTATTGGTTCTATTTTGGTATGTTTGTAAGGAAGTTCTAGAGGTTTTGTGCTTAGCCTTTCCTACCATAACAGAGCTCACCTATGGATCAGAGGCTAATGTATGGATGCTGTCAGTTGTTGAGTAAACTATTCCAGTTACACATTGAAGAACTGAAGACATCCATCAATCTGTTAGCTCATTGTGAATCAGGCTTGTACTAAGAGTCCATCTATCACCTGATTACTATAAACTCTTGTAAAGAAAAAAATTAAAATATCAAGCTTGACTGTTAGCCTTTAAAATTCCACTTAAAATGCTATTCTTTGGGTGTGTCTAGAAACCCAGATTTGGGGAGGGTTCTTAATATCCTAACATGCAAGAATGGCTTATTATGCCTAAACTGTACAGGCAATGTGGTTTATATTGAAAACTTGCTTTCTTTCAAGGAATCTGGAATCTTAATAGGTGCTAAGAAGACGAGCACCTCGGTAACCAGCCCACAATAAAAACCTTGGAGGTTTTGCTCATTCTCACTCTAGAGACTACCACCTTTCAGTCTGTTGAAAGTGTATTCCTTTCTTAATAAACTACTATCACTTTCACTATAAAAAATACCATGGCACTAAGTTTCTAGTGAGTTTCTCTGATAGACAATAGTTCAATGTGTTTCACACATTGATGGAGGAATTAACTACCTGTGACTCCACTAGGAGAGGACTCTTGTGATCTTGTGCTGTTTTTATTCAGACTTTGCCCCATGCAAATTATACTCTTTTGTATCCTTTTCCTGTCATAAAGTTTAGCCATAAGTACAACTGTATTGTGAGGTCTGCAGGTTCTCCTGGGGACTCACTGAATTGGAGAGGTGGATACTGGGGACTCCCCGTGCAACACTACTTTGACTGATAGGACACAATAGCATTTTGAGGCCCCAACAATTAGTGTCAATTCAAAGCAAATGTCTAATAATTCTCCTAAGATTTGAGTATTCCTTTTTGACAATACCTAGTCACTACTAGGGTTTGAGTCCTAAATGTCCCCCAAAGGTCCTTGAAGAGGGCTATGAAATCCTGGTCCCTTTGTTTTCTTTTGCTTCCTGGCCAGAAAGTAATGGTTTTGCTTAACCAAAGGCTCCCATCAGGATTCACTTCCTTGCCACAGACCTAAAGTGACAGGGCCAACCAATTATAGACTAAAACCTCCACATCTATGTGCCAAAATAAAATATTTTTCCTTATAAGTTAATTATCTCAGGTATTTTGTTAAAATGATGGAAAGCTGACTAACACAGCCAGCCTAGGAAATGGCTGCAGATTCCTCAAGGGAAAATTTGGAGGAAGATTCATGGTATGTAATCATGCAAATGCTATAAGATCTTCTCTTAAGGTTAGGATACCTGACCCCTCTTCCATCAAAGGGCTCTATTTTTAAATTTCATCAGTCCAATAATTGGATGAGGTGCGATTCTCTTCACTTGTTGCAAATCAAGTCAGAATTTGAGGTGTCAGTTCTAGGGGTTCTTCAGTTATAAAGCACAAGCAATATTCTAGTAGGCTATTCTCTTTCACTCTTAGGGATAGTACAGTCAGTTAGCCACAAAGATCCTTGCTGGCAAAGGCATCTGACTACGTGCACAACCCCTTAATAAACCATAGTTAATGGATATCAAAGTACCCATCCTGTAGCAGGCAGTTGTGCTAAATGATTTATACACACTACTTGGTATCACATACTCACTTAATTTCTCATTGCACTCAGAATAAATCCCCAGAGTTCTGACATGGCTTTTTTAAGTCTTAAGTGATCTGTGTCCCTGCCTACCTGTCTGATTTTTCAGTTTATTCACAACGTTTCAAGCACATGCATTGTAGTGCAACTCTTCTCAGCTTATGTCACCTCCAAACTGCCTTTCTAAAGCAATTCACTCCCCGCCTCATTAGGCACTAGACTTCCTCATTATTTTGTATGTTTTAATTCTTTATTGTATGCCTATTCTTAATTTTTCATGCTATTTGTGTACACCATGAGCCTGTAACCTCAACTCAGGCACGGCACATCTGTCTTGCTCCCCTTGCAGAGCAACTGGGGAAGTGCTCGATAAGGATCCAGACACTTCTCACGAAGACAGACGTTCGTGTGCATGACTGCCCGTTTTTCAAATAAGGAGAGCGAAGCTTGTCTATCACAGCTAACTGGCAGGGTCTGTGGCTCTACAAGCAGGAGCTGGCCACCACATAGGACCCCACACAAAGCTCGGCAACTCCTACCTTTGAACAACCGGGGCAAAACAAACAATGAGCATCATTGTTGTCATCACAAAACTGGCGTGTGCTTAACACGCTAGTGGCGTGCCCTCTTCTGACCCCACCTGACCGGGAGCACAAGCTGCCATCCACCCAGCGGCGCAGCAGTCGTCTCGCGACTGCCCCTCTGCGCAGGCGCGCGCCGGCCGCTTCCGCTCGGGGCGGGGCCGGCGCGGGGGGCGGGGCATGCGCGCGGGGGCGGGGCCGGCGCGCCAGGGGCGGATCCAGGCGGCTGCGGCCTCGTCCGCTCCCCGGAGCGTGGCCATGGAGCTGGAGGGTCGCCAGGGCCGGACTTTGATCCCGGGGTTGGCCTCAGAGACTTCGGAGCCGCGGCAGAAGCCGAAGACAGGGGCGGAGGCCAGGGCGGTTCGAGCCCGCCGCTTCCTGCTCTGTCTCTATTTGGTGGGCTTCTTGGTGAGTAAAACCGCTGGTGCTGGGGACAAGTACTGACTACGCCCCGGGACTTGCGATTCAGGTAGGGCTGCTTTTTTCTTTCAAGCTCCGGGGAGATTTGCAGAGCTCAGCCAAGGCTAGGAACCTGCCATCTGCCAGATCAGGGGCTTGCCTACCTCTCAAGCCTCCCTTGGCCGTTTCACAGCCGACCTCAGGTGTAGCTCCTTGACCTAGCCGCGCTCCAGGGCGCCCTCAGGTGTTCAGTGCTGTGGCAGATGCTAGGCAACAGCAGAGGCTCCTGGGCAAGCTTTGGAAAACCCGGCTGCTGTGGTGGCAACTGATACCTTAGGGACACAGGCCTTACCCCCAGACTAGGTGCAGGGGAAATCTCTGTTGATGACCCCAGAATTAGGCCCATTTTCACCAGGTTCCTAGTAGACTTAATGCTTAAAAATGCAAAGCACAATGACCCGGACACAATCTGCCTTTTGACAGAATGGTTATATATTGCACAACTCAGATTTTGTTTCATTTATAAATTTTTTTGTGTGTATGTGCTGGTTTGATCCAGATGCTTCATTTCCCAGGTAGAATGGAAAGCTTAGAAAGATGAGTGTGTGGCAGGGTAAGCCAATTAACATTCATGGAATTTCCAAACACCTGTCATGTGGTGGGTGCTGTGGACCTCCAGTATTGTAATAGGTGGTTCCCGCTGCCAAAACACTTAAGAGAGTCTTATGGGGAAAGTTATGTTGGTAGTCTTGGACCATTATATCTGCAGGGACTCCTCACTCCTCCCATTCCAAGTCTAAACCTGGTTCAGTACCCTTGGTTGTGAGCACATTCAGATTAGGAAAGAGCTGGAAGAAGTACCAAGTAGGATTTCCAGTTTGGGCAGAAGGAGCTGGTTAATTGAAGTGTCAGTGGGAGAAAGCATTGCAGATGGTATCTGATAGCATTGGGCCCTGGCAAAAAAGCAATTGATTGCTTTCTGCACATATGTAGTTTGGATACTACTACTCTCCAGGCTGATACTTCACTAGGATGGATGCCAACGCAGGTAGGGAGGACCAGACAGGCAGTCTCCATCCCCACTTCCTTGCAAACCATCCAACAGTTGGTATAGGTTCTATGTTGAATCCTGAAGAAAGCATATTTCAACAAATTTCTATATTCCTAGAGCTAGGAAACATTGAGGGAGGGCAGCTTCTTAGAGACACCTCTGCCTTCAGTTAACTTTGCAAGCTTCATGCAGTACCCTGGCACTATGGCCTCACTCCATCCCCCCCACCCCCCCCAACCTCCATGCCTTTGATTTCAGAGCCTCACACTCCTTTGGCCTCCTATTCCTTTTCATCCTTTTTTCTTGGGTCAGTCTTAGGATATCGATGTCCCTTCCACTTTGCAGTTTAGTTACTCAGAGTTCAAAATTAGTGAGTGTAGGTGGTTCCTCAGACTTGGAAAGGGGTTTTACTGCCATCTGGAAATGTAAGCCTCAAGCTACTGCAGCCCTACCTCAGAAGGTACTTCAGCAGACTGCCAGATGGAGAAGCCTTGGGCCCTCCCTGGAAAGTCCAGACTGTATTCATAGGGTTTTGGAAACTTCCAGGACAGTTACCATAAAATAAAGCAATTCACAGGTCATTCATTGTGCAGATTTGAATATTGACAGTCTTTTATATGTTTTCCATATACTGGGCATATGGGAAGTCTAATCTCACAAATGAATATATTTAAGATAATCATTAGATGTCTAATAAATATATAAAAAAGCCTAGCAGGGGGGAGAAATGAACCAAGCCTTGTATGCACATATGAATAATAAAAGAAAAAAAAAGCCTAGAAGTTTAAAGAAAGTAGGGATCATTTTAAACAGAAAATGTTGTAAACAAAATATATGCAACTGTGAATATTGTTGAAGCATCTTATATGTCTTTGTTAGTTAATGTCTAAGGAATATTATACATAACTCAGTTATTATTTTTAATATATTTAGACACATAAACACCCTTAAGACTTTTTGGGAAAGTGGTATCCTATTGGAAGAGGAAGGCAACAAGATTACCAAAGTCATTTGCTAAATGTCCTGACTTTAGCTTTTACCTAATTAAAACTTCTTGGTTTTAATTTGTTTCAGAAGGAAGACTAAGATCCTCCATTAGGCCCGATCTAAGATAGTGCCAAGATCTATGCTTTCTACCCTTCTTTTTTCTAGATGCCTGCTGAGATTTCTGTTCCATTACATCAGTTTTCAGTAGGTGATAATTCATCTTACTGATAATTCAGTTTGCACAAACCAAGAAACCATGGGATTCCTACCCTAAAAAAATGTCCTGAAACTTTTGAAAAGGTTCATCAGTTTTCTTTGGGAGATAATGATGTTGAATGAAAGAAGGTTTAGGTGGCCCCATCCGACTGGACTTTCTCATAAATGGTTACAAGCACATGAGCAGTTGCCAAGTACAATGTGCCCTAAAAGATGGTAGTTTTGAAGAAACCATGGATTCAGAAAGAGAAGACCATTTTAGAGCAGAACTTCCTGAGAGGAAAGAGCCTGCCTCCTTGGGAAAAGGTAGTATTTTTCAGACTCACAGTGCTAAAATAAAACCAACCATAATGATAAGTATGTATTTTCATATTTACCTTCCTTAGATCTCAAGCTATTAACATGAATATTTCTCTCCCATGCTTTATTTAGAATAGCCATTTGAATATTAAATGACATGTGCTACTGGGGATTTTATTGGAAAAAATCTTGTTGGACAGTTTCCATTTTTGAAAGCCCCAGAAGGCTGAAACATTTTGAGTCTTCAAGTGACACTAGACCGTTGATGAAGCAGAACTGAGTACTAACCCAAAAGCCATTGGCTCGGAACCCTAAAATATATTTTAAATAATCTTAAAATTGAAATTATAAACCATAGCTCTGAAAATTGGATATATGGTTGTCTAAAGATGTAATCATGGAAAAGGATCACCAAAGTATGTGGAAGTTTATGTTTCCCTAATTGTATGAATACATAGCTACCAACATGGAAGCAAAAGATTAACTCTGGGCCTGAAGAAAATGGGGTTTTTTGTGCATTCTCTTTCTTTCAATTTAACCATGTTTCTTGGATAAATGTTAAAAAAAAAAACCCGTATGTATACGATACGGTTTTTTTTCCCCTTACACCAGTTGTAGTAGGTAACCAAGTAAAGTAAAAATGAGGACAAACTTAAGGGGAAATACATAGTATTTCTAGTACCTTAATACCAGACCAACAGATCTGGACTTATCCCCAGAGCTCAAGAGTGGAGATGCTTTATGCTGTATTCAATTTTCTACTTGTGTCAGACTGCTGTCAGCCATTATGTCACTGAATGAAATGCTGTCACCATCCTATCAGGCAGGTGTTATTGGGCCTCTTCTTTACACAGGGTGTCACTAGAGGTTGTAACATTAAATAACTTTTCAAGGACACGCATTTAGTAAGTGATACAGCTAGAGTGGAGAACTGTGACCCCACAGCCACATTTACTTTCTATGATCAGCTGCTTCCCCTCACACATCAGCCTTCTCTGTCCTCCTGCTGAGGCTTTCTTCTCAGCTGTTACCTTATACAGCTATAAACTATGAATTCTGGCACATTAGTTGCCTTTCCTAACACCAGGAGGAAATTCTTATGTTTAAGCAAGTTCTGCTTTACCAATAAATACAAGTTATCCTTCCCTTATTTCCTACTTCATTATCGACAGAACATAGTGGGGTTTTCAGCTTCTTCTTTTTTTTTTTAATGTGAGGGAGTTCTGTAACATGTCCCCCTTGGATGTTAAGGGCGAATTACCAAGAAGCTAAAGTTAAAATTCATCTTAGGTCATGGTAACCCAGGCTTGTATGTGTGGCAACTGCATACAAGATATTTTATTTTGATTCCTTGATGACTTTAATCCAATTGATGTGGCATACTCTGGAATATAAATAAGGTTTCTTTTTGCTGAAAACCCGAGATACCAGTTTTATGTCTGAAATTGTTTTATGATTTTTAGGATCACAACTTAAAAAACTCCTACACTTCAGTTACTAACGTGAGTCATTCAGTGTTTATTTTCTCTTAGGATTTGTTTGGTGTCAGCATGGTTGTGCCTTTAATGAACCTTCATGTCAGGTCTCTTGGAGCAAGTCCCATTGTTGCTGGAATAGTAGGTGAGTGGTTAATCCACCCTTTTTCAGAGCACTGGATTTTAAATCCCCTGAACTAAGTATCCCCAGACAACTCCATCTTTAGCCAGATATCCAAAGGTAAGTGAGAAATAAGATTAAATGAATTTCCAGGCTCTCTTAAAATATACTTTCCTGGAGCAAATGTAGTTAATCTTTTCCTAGGCTACCTGAACTCAGGAAGAAGGTGTTGAGGTTTGAGTGTTAGCTCCCACATCCCATACTTACAGGGCCTCTGCAAGGAGTTGACTGTGTATGTTAAGGGTAGGCATAGGCTCCTGCATGCACATTAGGAACCTGTAACATAATATGAAAGACCAGAAAGACAATCTAAAGAAAACACCTGGCCAGAAGGGGTTGGAGTGGACCTTGCAATATTTCAAGCTTCCCACACCACCAGCACATCCTAGAAGCCTGTTGGGTTTCTCTACCTGTGCAGCAAAAAAAATCCCACTCAGAGCCGTTGACTTATGAAGGAGGCAGGAGTTAGCAGAGGTTAGGACCATGCTAACTAATGAGAAATTCTTAAGACTAACAGCCAGTGATCATTCAAACACTGGACAACAAAAGTTTTGAGAAAGTTTTGTACCTAACCTTCGTTAAATCCTGGTCCATGCCATGGTTGGTATTTCCTTTGAAAATGTATTTTGCTGGGAGGGGTTGGTACCAGTGGGAGGGAGAAGGATGTGGGGATAGGGTGTAGGAGGGTGAATATGGTAGAGATACTATGCACTATGCACTCGTGTGTAAATAGAAAAATGAGACCTGTTGAAACTATTCTACGAATGGGGGAGGAGAAATAAAGGTGAATGATGGACGGGATAAATAAAACTATGATAAATTTTAAGAAATTTTGTGTATCCCCTGTATAACAATAATGAAAAAAAAAGAAAGATGTACTTTGAAACCCAGCATCATGAAGAGTTTTAGGAAAAGCAAAAAGACCTGTAAAACGTTGTGTTTTATAAAATTAAAACATTTCAGTTTTTAACATTTCACTTTTCTTTTTACTTCTATTATTTTTTATTATTCTATATCCTTTTTCTTTTTTAATTTTTTTTTTTTTTGAGCTTGGGTATTACTGATATAGCCCAGGCTGGCCTGGAATATGTGTTCTCTACCTCAGACTCCTAAGTACTGGGATGTGCCACAATGACCAGCTATTAGCATGTATCAGTTGTTGAAAGTAATGGGCTTTATTACATGTGTATAATGTACTTTGATGGCATTCACCCCCTCCATTACCCTTTCTTAATTTTTCTCATTCTGATTTCAACCCCCCGCATGCTCTCTGTGCAATTTTATAAGATGAAGCTGCACAGTTCTCACATAACAGAAGAAGGACTATCTTTCAGGGTCTCTAACATTGACCCTGCTTTTATTATGTCTTCCAATTACCTTTAATTTTGTTTTGAAGGCCTTTTATTAAAAAATATATTACTTTTATGACTTGGGTAAAAGATACAAAGCAGTTTCCATTTCTCAAAATGGGCTTTTACCCTTATGCTTTTCCGTTCATTTCTGTTATTCTTACCACATTTATTCATTTTTGTGACGGGTCTAACTCATTTTACTGAATTATTGATTTTATTTATTTATTTTTTGGTAGGCTCCTCTTACGGCATTTTGCAACTGTTTTCCAGCACATTTGTGGTAAGTTACTTTCCATCTGGCAGCATATCTCAAGAGCATAACCATGCTCATCTGAGACTCATCATCATGGCTGTAGTAAAATTGAAGGCTTGAGGATTATCAAAAAGTAGGGATGCCAATGGTTAGAATATAGTGTTGTTAGATCAAGGAGGATCCTTCTTTTGTCTGTTCTTCTTCATTTGGTCCCTGAGAAGACATAAGCCTAAAGGACTTGGATGGCTTGTTCTGAACACAGCATAGTCACTAGTAGATATAGGATGAGAACAAATTCAAATTCTAGTGTGCTCTTCCTGTGATTCTCTGCTAAAAGAATGTAAATGAGAGTTATTGCCAATTTAATTACTTGTTTCACTTACTTGACAATGGCCAAATCCATTTATGTTTCTAGAATTCTGTCTAAAGTTGTGCCCATTGAAGAAAATACTCTATTGTTTGTAAGACCCAAGTGAATAGACAGACATTTGGAGTGGTTGGTTGTATATCTGAGGCATGGAGTTGAAAGATCCAAAGGTGATCTTGTCACACACTCCTTCTGACCACTCGGCAGGTTGAAATTCAGAGCCTTGTACTGCTCTTCCTCTTCTCTCTCTCTTGTGCAATCCTGAGAACTCAGTGTCCAATGGTCAGGGAAGCTAAATAGAAGAGTCTGTCTAGTCTCAGATTGACCATGAGTAATGGTGTTTGTAGGTAGCCTGGCAGTCTCACATTTAGTGAACATGATGTACGTTCCTGTTTTCCAAGTTCCTTATAAAATATGTTTTTAAAAGACAGTCAGATTCCACAATGAACTCTTAAATAAGCAAATAGCTACTCCCTGGTTTATCTTTTTTTACATCTTTAGGATGTTAAATTTGCACAACAATCATTGCTTTATTCTCATTTAAACTATGTAGCAACCCACTTGGTATCTCCCTTGTATGCAAGGGGAAATTAAGACTCATGGAGTTTAAATTATTTGACTAAGCTACCTAATCTCAGTATGCAGACTCTAAGTCCACATTCTTTTTTCCTAAAAGTCATCTGCCCTTGCTTTAACAGTATAAGAAGGCAAATGAAGGTTCTGGGAGTGTAATTTAGTAGTGGAGCTCTGCTTAGCATGCATGAGGCCCTGGATTCAATCCTCAGCACCCTCCTACCACTAAAAAAAAGTTAATGACTGAGTAGAGTTACCCATTTGTACAGGAGAGAACTGCATTTGCTTGTCAGGCAGATGTGTATTTCATGTTCTTGTGAGGCAAGGATGTTGGTTGGATTTTAGCAACACCTTTTCTGCTTTATTTGAAAGCTCACTCCCACAGTGCTTGCTACATGTATGTCTTACAGCATGTAGGCTGTACATGCAGAGAAGTCCAGTTCTTCTCTGCACCCTCCTGATGGACTCTGGCCTCTATGAGATAAAGACCAAGCATGACTGATTGATTCATTTTTGTTGCTAGCACATTTCATAGCATGATTAGCATTTTATGAATGTGAAATTTTATTGCCAACTATGACTACCCACATTATCAAATTGATCCTTTGTCTTATGTTTTCACTTACAAAGCACATTTAATATATCTTTAATTGAATGATAACCTTGCTTAGAAATTCTTCAGATAAAGAAATACCTAATTAAAATTTCCTTTCTAACCAATACTTTTATAAGTACATATTTTAATTATTGTAAGTTTTATATGAACATGTTTTGTTAGCTGTGGTTAATCTTTTCAATGTGTATGTTTTCAGAAAAATGATTAGTATTTATTGAGTGCCTATTGTGTGTTGGGCCCTTTCTGAGCACTTACTTCATTTAATCTTCTTGATAACCAGCCTCACAGGGTAGTTATAGGTCTTGAAAGTGGTCACATGATGCCAGTGACCTTGTTTTTGACCTTTCTCAGATGATACCCTACTAGGTGCTCCATTTATACTAAGCACCTAGTAAGCATTGAGGGGTAGACTAATTTTTTATAGCGAATATTAATCCTACTTTAGAGATAGAGAAACTGAGGCTTGGAGAGGTTAAGTTGTATGTCTGGTATCATGGTAGTATAGGGAATGGTAAGAGTGCAGAGTTAAACTCAGATAGCCAGGACCCTCACCCCAGGGCATCACTGCTGGATTATACGATTGCCATGTGGACACAAGAAGGCCAGTGACTGAACTCAGAGAAAGGAATGGAGGAGTTCCAAAATCTGTTGAAATGAAAATTGGCAAAAGGGATTGTTGACATTTGTAGAAGGATGACAGTATTGTGGAGGATTTACCCTCAGAATGACTTATAGAGGGATTGACAGTTTATATTCCGGTGTAGTAAGGTTTTAGAAGAATATGAAAACACCAGTAGAAATTGGAAACAGCAGTTCTGTTCTTGACCCTTCTCAGTGAGGCATGAAGAATACATAAGTAAGGACTGAGCTAGAAAGGTGGCCTAGACTCCTCATTGGGCTACGCTCTATCCCAGAGGATGTTAGGACCCCAGGCAGCACATCACTGCCTCTCTGTGCCCTCTGTCTTCTACATTGGCCTATGCTTGCTTAGGTCTTCCCTTGAGGGCCTCTAAGCTTCTGCTCCTACTGGGTTCTGCTTTCGTCTCTGTGCCTCGCATTCCACCTCTCAGAGGTGCTGGGAAGTTCATCTGGTCACTATAGAGCACGTCATTCCCTCCAGGGTGAGCTTCATCCTGGGCCACCTATAGTCTCACCAAGCTTCCTGACTTGTCTAAAGAATGGTGAAGAAGGGAGCCCATGCCTGGGAATTCTCTGAGGCTCCCAACCACACACATTGTAACTGATAGACATATTACACTGCTTATTTCTCTCGAGGGAAAATGCAAGTAGTACACACACACAAAACTTCATCTCATCAGAAAAAGGAAAAGTAAATTAGCATGAGGAAAAAATGACACCCTAGAGCCCTGAGTTCAAATCTCAGTATCACCAAAACAATAAAATGCCACTTAACAAATTCTCACATTTTTCTCATTGAGAATGTTCTATATTGGTTGGAATATAGGGAACCAGAGACTCTGCAATTTACACTGATATGGGACTATAGATCTCTCTAGATATTGATTGAGTCAGTGTCATTGCCTAAGAATACACCTATCATTTTTTAACCCAACAACACTTATGCTAGTGCTTTATCCTAAGGACTTTTCAAGGACATTTACAAGAGTGTGTTATGAGGACGTTTATTGTAGCATACTTAATTTTTAACAAATCGACAAGAACCAAAGAATCTAACAAAATACAAATTTGTTAAGTAAATATTAGTGCATACTGGAAGGTGCAATATGATTAAAGACAGTAACAATGGCAAAATGTTAATGACATGGAATGATGTTCAAACCACACTACTATGTAAAAAAATTAAGTTAAAATATAGTCCTAAATGATCGTTTCCTTAAAAATATATACAGGTTTGGGATCGTGAAAGGATTTTTCTTCCCTAGTCTTCATTTTGTCATCCAGCATTTTCTAAATTTCTAAACAATATACATAGATTCTGAGTTTAGTTGCATAAAATTATGAAATAAAGACAAAAATAAGGCTTTATAAGTTATATCTCACCCTCTCACCAGTGAATTCTTAGCTACCAGATCATCAGGCTTTGTTTTGGAGACAAAGATAACAATGAGATTTTTCCACTCAACTTGTGGGAATAGCAGAGAAAATGACCCTAAACAAGATACCCTGACATTTTCCACCTGGCCATGCTTTATTGGACATTTACATGGCTTTGGTGGGCATTGTAAATGTCTCTGTTTTCTTGCTTTCCTCAGGGCTGCTGGAGCGATGTGGTCGGAAAACGGACCTCCTTACTGGTGTGCATCCTGCTCAGTGCCCTGGGTTACCTCCTCCTTGGAGTATCCACCAATGTGTTCCTGTTTGTACTAGCTAGAGTCCCTGTGGGTAAGTTCTGGACCTTAAGTATGTGTGTGTTTTCATTCAAAATAAATCTCAGTCTCTGTACGTAAACCTGCCTGGCTTGGTACTGCCTCTTTGACTAGAGTTTACCTGCAGAAGTATAATGACAGCAGCAACGAGAGCAGTACTCTCATCACCAGCAGCTGCTGTGTGTTGAACACTTAGCATTAGCTGACCTTAGGCTAACTTTTCCAAAACTATAAACCTTGTGCTGGACAGAGCCCAAACCCCTCAGAGGCTGTCAGTGACACACACTGTGCCACTGCCCTGACCAGTCTCCTTCTTCTTCGAAGACATCTCTACATTCAAACAGTAAGGATGTGTTCCAGGTCTTTGGTCAGTACTGTGATTACTAACCCCTCCTGAGGTGAGCTTCTGGTTTTGTAACTGGGCTTCCTGACTTCAAATTGAGATTTATCCCTGCAGCTTTCCTGTAGTCTTTTGGAAATCTGGCTGCTGACTGGGGGTGGGGGAGTGTAAGATTGCAATGTAACAGTTCATGTGCTGGTTTTCTATTTCCAGACTGATCTTTACTATTTATTTTTATTTTATGTATGTATTTATTTATTGGTGGTACTGGGGTTTGAACTCAGGGCCTTGCACTTGCCAGACAGTTATTCTACCACCTGAGCCACACCTACCACCCTTTTGCTTTGATGGTTTTGCATTCATACCAGAACCTGCACCTTGATTCTCATATTTATGCCTCCCATATAGCTGGGATGACAGACAGGCACCACCACATCCAGCTTTTATTGGTTGAGATGGGGTCTTAGGAACTTTTTGACCAGATTGGTCTCAAACTGCAATCTTGCAAAACTCCACCTCCCAGGTTGGTAAGGATTACAGGAGTGAGGCACTATGCTCAGCTGATCTGGACTATTTCTAACATTTTGAACTAGTTTTTATTTTGTGCATTCATTGATAACAATGAGGAATAGAGCTGTGTTGTAAATAATTCAATTAATAGATAGGTGATGATCAGTTCATTGGAATGTTCACACTATTTCTTTGACATCCATATATTCTCTGAAAGTCTTTTGAGTTTGCCCTCCTAAATTCATACTATGCTTTTTTATTGACTAAAAAATAATTTAGAAGATTTTGACTTAAATGAGGTTACTGATCCTAACAAATCCCCCTCCACATACAAACTCCATTAATAGTTGTTCCATGTTCATCTTGCGTTGAGTTTATTATATGTTCTTGGTTTGTTTGGCAATGTGTTTTTCTAATACTACTTTAAACCCTACCATCAAATGGTATGCTGTGTTCCTAATTCCATAGAAACAGATGAGGGAGGTGAATGAGAACAAAGTGGGTAGAGCTTTATTGTGAAACGAGCTTTGTTTAAGTGGTGATAGTTGTTATATAGACGTATTGATGTTTGGAAACAAGGAGAGCCATACATAAAACTTCCTCCTTGCCTATTTGACCTCTATACTGTTTGGAGGTCATGAATATGAGGGATCCTGGAGAAGCTTCACTAGGGTTCTGATGCACAATCAGATCCTAGTGTCATGTCCTGAAAATGAGCTCCTGGCTTCAGTTATGCTTGAACTGGATGCCTGGTTTTGCACTCACAACCTCTAAAAGACATCTAGGCTTTTAATAGGGTACTCTTACCATAGTTCTCTTCCCCAATATTTGTACAGTAAACCTGACAGAAATAGAATTTCAAAGAAAGTCAGAGTTCCTATAAGACTGCTTGCACATCATTTATCCTGGCCTTTTCTAACAGTTAAAGAAACAAGTTGCTGGCAGAATAGCTCAAGTGGGAAGAGCACCTGCCTAGCAAGCATGAGGCCCTGAGTCCAAACCCCAGTACCACCAAAAAAAAAAAAGGTTTACCTAATTCCAAAAGGGATTTGTAAGTTTACTTCCGAAAGAGGTTGGCTCTGTGCTAAATTGCACACTGTAATTTTGAGACAGAGCTGGAAATCGACCCAGGAGTGATGTGTTAAAACACATGAGCACAGTGCTGTGCAGACAGAACTGCCTGTGGGAGACTGGCATCGCATCACAGTTCAGGGTGACTCACACCAGCAGCTCTGTTGAGATCTTAGTAGGCATTGATCAGAGCTGTGGGCTACCTATAACCAGAGCCCATCAGAAGGTTCATGAGTGTGTGTGTTCCCCACACGGGTGTCTGAAGAGCAGGAGTATAAGGGCATGCAATGGCTTTCAAGTAGTTTGGTCAACAAATCCACAAGATTCTTGCTAGTAGAAATCAGTTGGTACGGGTTGAATGAGGATGCCGTATTTCTGTTCATGCCCTAGCCTCTTCTCTGCTCCGTTCCTCTCTAGAGGCTTTCTTGCCTTTCAGTAGATTCTATGTATTTCTCCTCAATAAAAAGCCATGCTGTGTGAGGGCAGGGATACCTGTTTGGTTGTTTTTCAATTTTTGCTTTCTTGACTTTCGTTTCTTGCTTTGCCTTCAGGTCACGGTCAGTGCCGGATGTGAAGTAGGCATGCACTAATATTTATTCAGTGAGTGAGTGGATAAAGAATGGTAACTTGGTCAGGGAAACCACCAGGATTACAGTTGGAGAACAGAGAGGACTAGAGATGCTGGGTGTCCTAACCAGAGGTGGGAAAGCTGTGGGCTCAGGGGCTTGGTGCTAGAGTTGAGGTGACCCACTATAGTCATGGCACTAGCCCAGGAGTCCAGTTATGGTGAGGTGAGTTCTGTGGGACTTAGGGATTCAAACAAAATGAAGGTCAGAACTCTATCTAGGACAGATGAAGCATGGAATCTTAAGGGAGACCCATTTTGTATGGGAAAAGTTACAGACTGTGTTTCTTATCCCTTTGCAGGTATTTTTAAACACACCCTCTCCATCTCTAGGGCTCTTCTTTCTGACCTGGTAACAGAGAAGGAGCGGCCTCTTGTGCTGGGACAGTTCAATACAGCCTCCAGCATTGGCTTCATCTTGGGACCCATGGTTGGCGGTTATCTCACTGAATTAGAAGGTGGATTCTATCTTACAGCCTTAATCTGTTTTTCAGTCTTCCTTCTCAATGCAGGTAAGTTAATGTTTATGAAAAGATTGTTTTGTGTACTCATACTGAACAGTCTGTGCACCATGAGGCAGACTCATTGTTCAAAAGTGAAAGTCATTTTGAAGACCCTTCCTGCTGTTCTTAGCAGCTGTACCAAGTCACATTCCCTCCACCTTTGTGCAAGGCTCACATCCTCACTATTACTTATGTGTTGTTTTTTCTTTAATAACAACCTTCTTAATAGGAATGAATTAATATGTTATTATGGTTTTGACTTGTATTTCCCGGATTATTTTCATACATCTGTTGACCATTCTTTGGAGAAATGTCTGCCCCATCTTTTGCCCATTTTACTTGGGGTTTTTTTTGTTATTGTTATTTTTGGTTTTGTTTATGCTTTTGACTTGTAGGAGTACCTACATATTTTGGATATCTATTAACCCTTTTACAGACATCAGATTTGCAAATAACATATCCATTTCTGTAGGCTACCTTTCACTTTAGCAATTGTTCCCTTTGCTGGAAAGCTTTTTAGTTTCGAATGGTCCTATTTGTCTATTTATGCTTTTGTTGTGTGTGCTTTTGGTATCATGTCCAAGAAATCATTGCTAAGACAAATTTTGTGTGTGTGTGTATGTGGTATTGGGGTTTGAACTCAGGGCTTTGCTCTCATTTGACAGCGCTGTACCATTTGGGCCATATCTCCAGCCTTTCTGCTCTGGTTATTTTTGAGGCTGGGTCTTGCTTTGTACCTGGACAAACCTGGACTATGATCCTCCTATTTATGCTTCCTATAGTAGAGGGGTTGACAGGCCTGTACCACCAAATCCAGCTTCTTCTATTGAGTTGGGGTGTCATGAGCTTTTTGCCCAGGCTGACCTGGAACTGAAATCCTCCTGATGTCAGCCTCTGCATAGCTGGAATGACAGGCACACCACTGCACCCTGCCATGGATTGAGATGGGGTCTTTGAACTCTTTGTAGGGATGGCCTCAAATGGCCATCTTTCTGATCTCATCCTCCCATGTAGCTAGGACTGTAGGCATGAGCCACCATTGCCCTGCATGTAAGACTAATTTTAAGAAGTTTTGCCCTCGTTTTTCTTCTAAGAGCTTTATAGTTTTAGAGTTTATGTTTATCTTTAATCCATTTAGAGTTTGTGGTGTAAGTTAAGGGTCTGGTTTATTCTTTTGTATGATACATATTTTCTTAGTTATAATCTAAATGAAAATACTTCCTTTTACTTTTGATATACTTATTAAAAATTTCAAAAAAATTTTGGAAGCAAATAAAACCAGAATATGCCACTCCCTGCTACAGACCCTGCAGTGTCTTCCCATCATGGTAAAGGATGTGCCTGGATGGTAATGGAGGCTCCACTTGCTCTCTGCTCCACCATGCGCACTGACCATACTACCTTTCTGGTTAACCTCACATGTGCTGGGCTGATTCCGTCTGAGAGCAACATACTGGCTCCTTCCTCTACCCACCACATTCTTCTCACAGATCTTTACTTCACCACATCTCTCTCCTTCCCATCATTCAAGGCTCAGGTATTTCTTCCTTAGACCTTCCCTGATCATTCTGCCTAAAATAGCTCAAGTGTTTTTCAGTAGCACTTCTTAAATTCTGTTATTAATTTTTTTTCTGCTTATATTCTGTTTGTTCTCCCTGACACACACACACACACACAGTCCATAGGGAAGGGATTTAATCAGATCTGCTCACCACCGTGCCCCTGCATAGACAGGCCAAGCATGAAGCAGAGGGCCTGTGCTATTTGATGGGTGAAAGAACACCTCCTGGGCTGCAGCTATGGCATCTTGGATGCAGTGCCAAGTTCTCAAAACATGTTTTATCCTCTTTGTCCAGAGGCCAAGGTATGCCCTACCTTGGGTAAAAAGCTACATAAACAGGTAAAACCTTACTGTTCAGTTTCCCTTGTACTCAGTCATTTCAATCATATTTTACTGCAACTTTTCAAATCTTCACCTTCCCAGCATGATATTGTACAATGAATGCCATGTCAGGCTGGGATGTCAGATTTAGGAAGTGAAGCTCAATGTCATTTCTCATAAGATCACTTCATAATTGTCTGCCAGTCACCTCAGCCAGGAGAGTAGACCTGGCAGAGTGGAGTAAATCTAGGTAAAATGGCTTCAAAATGAGTGCCAAAACCAAAAAAAGAGAGTTTATGAAGTAAAGAATTTACATGTGAACTTAAATTTATGAGTTTAGCTATAAAGTGATGGGATATAAGCCATCACAGGCTTTTGAGCTGAGGAGGTGACTATTTTGTGGATAGTTAGGGTATTCTTCATAAAGGTGAAGGGTGTGTTGCTGACTACTAATGTCACAGTGGAGCCGTGGGAATAGTGGGAAAACTGAAGTAAAAACACAGGCTAGAATATCTAGTGCAGAAATACAGATGCGTAATTTGCTCGCCTGCAGGGAGGCTCTGCAGGAATCAGCATCTGGTCTCCTGTGATGGGTATTGTACCACTTTAACAGGTCTCGTTTGGCTATTACCTTGGAGTGAAGCGAAACTCAGCAGTACAAAGAATAGCCCGAGGTGGGGTCAGAACCATGCACCCTTGGGGAAGACAGACTACACCCTGCAGGGAGCAGCCACCACCCCTGTAGCCACCAAGAATGAAAAGATGGCTCAGCGGCCCTGGCTGGAAGTCCCATCGGCCTTGCAGGACATGAAGAGCCTTCTGTTTTCTGAAATGAGGCACATATTTCTCGTGCGCTTGCTGATGGGTGTGGCCGTCATGCTGTACTATAGTAACTTCGTCTTGGCCCTGGAGGAGCGCTTTGGGGTGCGGCCTAAGGCCTCAGGGTACCTCATCAGTTACAGCAGCGCCCTGGGGACCCTGGCTGGCTTTGCCCTGGGGCCAATCCTGCGGCTGTACAAGCACAACTCGCAGATAGTCTTGCTGCATTCCAGCACCCTCACCTGCACTCTGCTGCTGCTCTACTCCACAGCCTGCAGCATGGTTGTGGTGGTCTTCTGCTCCACGCTCCTATCCTTCTCCACCAGTATTGGCAGGACCTGTGTCACAGACCTCCAGCTGAGCATGGGCGGAGCCCAGGCCAGCGGCACTGTCATAGGCGTAGGACAGTCTGTGACAGCTGTGGGCCGCATAATTGCCCCTCTTCTCTCAGGAGTGGCCCAGGAGGTCAGCCCGTGTGGCCCTCCCAGCCTTGGGGCTGCTCTAGCCTTGGTTGCTATTTTCCTAATGTCACTAAACAAACCTCACGCTAGTGATGATGGGAGTGGTAAATTAAAATGTGCATAGGGAACATCCTGAGGAAACAAAATTGGAGGTGTGCAAATCAGGAACAATGGGTGTAATAAGAAGTACATATCAGAAAAGGGGGATGGTATAAGTGAAATTTTTTCCAGGTGGTGTGTGCCACTCTCAGCTGTGCAGTTACACCTGTGGGACCATCAGAAATCACAGTGACATGTAGGAGAGTTAAGATTGAAGCAGCTTTGCCAATGGGGACCCAATTCAAGGTTAACCTGAAAGGCTCCTTCTTCCCATGTGGACCCCAAGCCAACATTTTCAAGGGTGAAAAAAAAGATGCCATGTACAGGAGAGGGAAGTGGTGGTGGAATAGCAAGATAGGATTTCTGGAAGAGGGAAGAAACCACACATTTCCCTGCTGAAAAAATACAGGTAGCTTGTTAATCACAAGCTGATCACCCCTGCAACATTGGTTTCCTGCTAAATCCATAAGCTAAGAAGGAGCTTTGCTGCTGTCAGAATCTGGAAGATTGAAGAAGCTGCTTTATTAAAACCAGCCTGAGGATTTCTTTCTGGTTAAAAATCAGGTGTTGACCTCACCCCCTCTGCCTGACTGCCCCTGACTAGGCCTCAGCAAGGCCTAGAGATCTACTGTGTTTTAGGCACCAGTGGTGATTTCTCATGGAGGTAGAAGAAGCATCACAGTGAGACAGACACTTGACTGTTTTTATTAGGCGCTGGCTAAATTTGATGGTTTAAATCATGCTTGTGATAACAATGGGTTCCCCTTGCCCAGCTCTCAGGAACTGTGCTCTGTATTAAGAATGGGCCTGTCCATCTTCTCTGGGACTAACTCCCCCTGGACCTTGTGCATTGTGATCCTCTCTGCAAAGCCCACATTCCAGTTGCACTTCAGATTCTGGTGCTGATAGACCCTGGCAGTAAAGCCAAAGTCCAGGAATGCTTTTAAGTTAAATATTATTTTCAGAGGAGAGAAACTGGAACTGGATTCCCCGGGGTTTGTGTTAAAAGTCACTTGATTTGTTTCATTTCAATTTTGTGCCTGGAAAGAGCCATGTTGTTTTTCAGGGGCATGTTGTGGTATGCCCTTTCCTAGTTAAATGCCATTGCATTAGCACCTAAGAGGAAGGAGAGGGGCCTCTACAGGCTCACCAGAGGTGTGCCATGCTGACCACTGGGAGTTCTGACTGCTAGTAAACATTTTTTAGGGGCCCCTCTTCCCCTCACATTCCCTTTAACCCTTAATTGGTCCACTAGGATATTATTCTTTTTTTAGCCTAACACATACAATTGTAAATAATATTTTAATATACTAATTTGTCATGGCTTTAATATTTATTATTTATGAGTCAGAAGAAGTATTTTAAAAGTTTTAGAAATGGGTATGATAACTTGAAACATTTATGACAATTGAAAGTATGTTTTCCTTTGAAGAGCATCTTTTTTCCTCTCTAGCTATAAGAAAAATAATTAACTCTTATTAAGTGTTATAATTGTGAACTTTTACAAAAGAGCTACATGCTTTTGAGGATACCAAAAGATTGCCTTCCCTGAAGGAATACACTAAATGTCACAGAGATTAGATCCAAGAAGACAGTTTGTAATTAGGGATTTATGCAATGAAGTAAAATTTTGGAAGAATTTTTCCAAAGATGTCTTCACTCTTGGAAATAGGTTTTATTCAAAGCTTTTAAGTATAGCCATTTTTATACTTTTTAAGAATCATAGCACTTTATTTTTGAAGTCAAATAAACCCTATAAACTTAAGGAAGCTGTATAGTAAGACATAGAAATATTGAAAACCAGAGATTGAGCTCAGTATACAGAAAAACATTTTCTTTTGTACTAAAAATTTTAGTATTTCGTTAATGTTATTTTTTGGGGGAGGGATATTAAATGATTTGTCACACTTCCTTTCACATGTCTAGCATCTGCTGTCCCAATGTGTGGTCCAGGGACAGCTCCTTCAATGTCATTTGAGAGTTTGTTAGATATGCAGATGTTTAAGCCCCATTTTGACAAGATACCTAGCTGATTTGTTTGCACAGCAAAGTTTGAGAAACACTGACTGACCTAGTAATCGGTATTTGTATTGTCTATGGAATATGATCTCAGGGAAATTAAATCTGTATCTGTTCAACTAACATTTGTGTTGTTTTGTTCTTTAAATTAAGTTCTACAATCCTTCCCAAAGTATCAGATTGAGACACATGAAGCTGTTCCTTTCGTAAGTGAAAAAAAAATCTTCATATGGTTCAACTTAATAAATTCAATGAAATCATATCTGAAAAATAATGAACTTGCCTAGGATGTTTATGAAGGACCAAGCACACATTCTAACATTATGCCAACCATAACTGGTAGAGGCAATGCAGCTCAGGGTTCCAGAGACACTGCTTTTCCCAGAGTAAAAGGGGGACTTCTGTGTTCATGTCCAAAGGGGAAGAGTAAAACACAGGGAGCAGGGTGTGTCTGGCCATGAGAGTAGCATGCTCCAGACCTGGGCTGGATGACCTGGCTGGGGAAATATGCAAGCGTCATACATGGAGTTCACCGAAGAGGCTGGGAACACTGGTTCTCTACCTTGGATGCATGGCCTGGACCTTGGGAACCAGACTTATGCACCCAGGTGTTTGTGTGCACAAGGAGAGTTTAGAATCACCAAGTTACATCAGGAAGGGACTCATCTGCCTTGTTCAGGGCTTGAGGGATAGGTGAGGGAAAACCACTGAAGAACTCACAAGGCAGAGTGGTATGGAAGCATCTGTGTTTTGAGAAGATCCCTTTGGGTGCAGCAAGGAGGACTTGAAGACTGAAATAGAAGCAGTCTGTACTTTGGTGCAGTGATCCAAATGAGCTCTGAGGGACAAGTAGCCAAAGGGATCGGGGAGGTAGGGAGAGGAGGGGATGCTCAGGGATATTCTGGGAAGGACTTTGGTAGTACCTGCACTGGCCTGAAGCTCAGGGAAAAGCTAAGAGAGCTGGTGGTGAGTGTAGAGCACATTCTGTCCTGTCCCATCTCAACCTTCAGAGAACATGTGTGGGTGGTTATGGAGCTCACTCAGTGGTTGGAACACTGAGGATGTTTTAGAGAGCGCTGGGCTCTCTTTCTGAGGACACTTGTGTAACATATGCAAAAACGTACATGGAGTGAATGTTGGGCCAGGCTGGGCAGCTGCATCCAGAGAACAGTTATTTTTCTGGGGTGGAGTGCATAGAAAAATAGAAAAGCCCTCAGGGTGGTTCCCCACATCCCTTCACCCCCTCCCCCCCACCAATGCTAACCTCACCTTAGCCTTTCAGGAGTCTCAGAAATAGCTTACTCCAGACCTATCCAGGGAGGTGAATGAGGCAGCTCTTCTTGAAATGGTGGCAGACTAAAATCAGTCCTGTTTTTTCCTGATGAACTTATGTTACATGATAATTTTTCTCAATAATAAAATCCCTTTAAATTATAATTAAGTAGTCTAATAAATTATATTTTTGGAAGTCATTATTGTATCCCAATATATATTTAACTTAAAGTCCTAATTTAATTAGGACTTGAAAAATTTAATCTCCAGTATGCTAAAACAGATTCATAGTTAAGCCTTTGGCTTGTATGACCATTATACTAATAGCAAATATATATATATATGTGTATGTATATATATATATATATATATATATATATATATATATATATATATATACACACACACATAATCTGAAATTTATACTGATCAGTAGAGTAGCTTTAATTACATCTTTTCACAGTGTAATTTATTTCTAATGACACAGATGCACAAATATGTTTTAATACAATTCTTACTTTATAGCTTCCTTTTTCCCCAGATCATCCACTCACATAACACTTTTTAGATAGCATTCTATGGAAGTAATAATAATCGAAACAAAACTTCTATTTTCTTGAGTTGATACATGGTAACAATGTATGAATAAATGATGCCCATTGTTTTTTTTTTTTAATTATTTTATTATTCATATGTGCATACAAGGCTTGGGTCATTTCTCCCCCCTGCCCCCACCCCCTTCCTTACAACCCACTCTGCCCCCTCCCTCTCCCCCCCCAATACCCAGCAGAAACTATTTTGCCCTTATCTCTAATTTTGTTGTAGAGAGAGTATAAGCAATAATAGGAAGGAACAAGGGTTTTTGCTGGTTGAGATAAAGATAGCTATACAGGGAGTTGACTCACATTAATTTCCTGTGCATGTGTGTTACCTTCTAGGTTAATTCTTTTTGATCTAACCTTTTCTCTAGTTCCTGGTCCCCTTTTCCTATTGGCCTCTGTTGCTTTTAAGGTATCTGCTTTAGTTTCTCTGCGTTAAGGGCAACAAATGCTAGCTAATTTTTTAGGTGTCTTACCTATCCTCACCCCTCCCTTGTGTGCTCTCGCTTTTATCATGTGCTCAAAGTCCAATCCCATTGTTGTGTTTGCCCTTGATCTAATGTCCACATATGAAGGAGAACATACGATTTTTGGTCTTTTGGGCCAAGCTAACCTCACTCAGAATGATGTTCTCCAATTCCAATGATGCCCATTCTTATTTTGAAAAAAAAAGATACTTCACAACAGCTTGTGTTCTTCCTTGAAGGGATAAGATCTTTATAGACATTAAGAAGGGAGTGTTAATTGCTAATCATTTATACAGCATAAAAGTGAACTATCAGGGTCTGGCTTGAACAGCCAGATTTAAACTGTACTACATTTTGGTAAATAAAAGTCCTTTTTTTGCAAACCATGTACTGTGGAGGATAAAAAAAAAAGTAGTTCAAATACTTCTGAGTGGTTGCTGTTTACAAGATGGGTAGAGAAAGCCTTTCTCAAGCTTGACAAAGAATCTGCAGTACTCCCCCACCCACAGACCATAAGTTCATACACTCATTCCAAGATCCCCAGAGGATGCTGGAAATCACGGAGTACTGAACCCTATATATCCTAATTTTTTCCTAAATATGCATAAATTTAATACTTTTTTTCCATGTTAACTAAGCACTTACCATGCTGGTGACCATAACTTTTGCAGTTTCTGGTGTGACAGCAAAACCAGCATAAACTTATTTTTCCTTCACAGTTTCC